GGGAGAAACTACAAAACACTGGAAAAGGGTTCAATATAAATGCAAATGCCAGGATCTGGGCTGTTAAACTGTGTAAACATGATGATTTAAGACAGCCTACTCTGCTTAGCTCCATACGTCTATGCAGGCAGTGTTATATGCACACCAGAGTTCAAATTAACATTGTCACCCTGATTGCTCTTCCTCTCCTTTCCCACTCTGCGTGCCAAGCACCCAGAGCACTCTAAACCTAATCTGTAGGTGGCTACTGCTAATTCCCACAGACTGCACACACTTCCAATTCCCCTCACCTTTTCGTACATGACAAGTCTGAAGACTAAATATTACATGGACTGGAGGGCTCCGAATTGTCAAAAAGATAAGGAAATAATGGGCTAGAGAGCACGGCCGCACGCTCAATTGAGTTCGTCTCCCAAGACATGTCAAACTTTACTTTAGACGTGCATGGATCAATAATATTCATATGCATTCGGGGGATGTGATGTTATGCTGGACGTGTAATTCAATGCTACGCAATGTTCCTACGCTCATACATCTGTATTCAGTTTGAAAATTAATCAAAGCACCCGCTGAAAGATCCTTATCAATTTGAAACCACAATCCATCACTGCAATTTTAGGCGAATCCACTCTCTGCAGTAAACTGTTCTTTTCAGGCAATAACTCTGGTAACTGGCAGTGAGCCCCCAGACAATTTTGAGTCACGGCCTGCAGCTGGAGCACAAAGCTCATATTGGTTGATCGCTGTATTCTTTTACGTGGCACAAGCTGCAGGCTATGTCACAAGGACACATGAGCCATCCCACACTCGCTGGTGTTTTCACAATCCCCGACCTGGCATGTGCACCAAAATAACCTAAGAGCAAAATATAACAGGGAGCCTATTGATGGTAAATGACCTCATGCAATCTAACTGGTATTGCCACTTACGTTGAAATTGTGATATCTAAAACAGATACAGTCAGAGGGGACCCTGTGTTCTCTATTCTGCTCTGTAACTTCTCTTTGAACTTCCTAAGTGCTTCATGAATGCAAATCAAATCCAGTCTTTTATCATGTTGTCTCACATGGTGAAATTCACCGTGACTGCCAGCATGGGAGATCGCTGTAGCAAAGGCTAATTCAATCACAGGGGCCCAGGCCAGGGTGTGAGGGATAGTTGACTTGAGGGTTGCAGCAGTTATCTACTGAGATGAAACACCAACATACAGCACATAAAAACAACAAAGCTGTAATGAATTAAAAAGAAAAAAAAATCATGACACGGTCTCATCATCCCTCTTCCCCAACAGATAACTGAAAGCTGCAGGGCATTTAAGAAAAAAAAACACACTGAAGAAAGCAGCCGATAAACATTAGAAAGCTTCACGCTTACTTAATGAATAATTGACCGAATCCATTCCCTTCACTCAAACAGAGGCAGACGTAACTTCTGAAGGCAAAGGTTGCAGCCTTGTAGCATTTAAAGCATTCTACCTTTACTTCTGTGCTCCCCGGAGACCGGGGATGATGGGATTTGGAGGGAGATGGAGGTCATAACGTAACTTCTATGTTCTGTAAGTTGCATGCTGTCTATTATTCTTCCTAGAAAAGCAGGGTAAGGAGACAAAAAAAAATGAAAATGATGGAAGGTGGCGTAAAAAGGATTTGGCAGTAACATCAGTTAATAGGCAGTTTATACCACAGAGTGAGTAGTATGTTTAAAATATCACAAAAATAGACTGCTCAGCAGAAGTCAATGACATAATTGGCTAAAACGGGCAGGTTTATTAAAGAATGACAGGACAATTAAAATGGATGACTAAGCATTCAGCTCTCTGGTTGCTATTCACCTATGAACATTCATAGTGAACATTTATGGAAAACCTACCCCATATGTTCCCCTGAAAGAGTGCAAAGAGACTTTTCTGGAAACACCATGACACCTGACAGGAAAAGCCTCTCTGCAGTGCCATTCATTGTAGTGTTCCTGTGTATATGGGCCCCTCAGGACATTTTCCCTCATCACAACCTGAAGGCAAAAAGCAGTTAGAAGAGTTGGATAAATACAAAGACATTTCCCTCTTGTATTAGGTACGGCTAATTAGATTTGATCTGTGATCCCCTTAAGGCGCCTACCACCTACTGTAGTATTTAAGCTGTGCTGTAGAAACCATAACTGTTTATTAATAGAGGTATTAATTATGGAGCAATGTGTGCAACCAGGTTTAGAATTTACCTTCACCAATAATAATGCAGTGGAGGTACCATCAGGTTGTGAAAATGTCAAAAAAACAACAAGACCAAACCAGCTCATTATTGAGTGTCTAGCCGTTTTCCTTAGAATGCCACAAATCATAAAAGCTAAGTTTTGTTCAAGCATAATAAAAATGAGAACAACAGCAGCCCAAAATAATTTAATGATTAATGCATAGTCTGTTGTTTTGATAGAAACCAAACTTCAGGGCCACATCTTGTCTGAGGAGCGCTTTTATTTTACCCACATTCTGATTAGTGGCGCCTGAGGTTGCCTCAGTGATAAGCACACTAAGAAATTATCATTGATTTAAACAGTATCTCGATTTAGCCCCGAACATATCACGACTTTCTATTAGCATATTAAAAGATATCTCACATCATCAAAAGACACAGGGGAGCCATTGAAAAAATAAAAGACAATGAAAATTAGCACAGCTCGGTGTCCCTCTCGCTCTGCCTAACCGAGAGGTGAGACTTCTGAAGGAGGCAGTGATGATGTTCTCTTTGAAGCACACTTTAGAGAGTGAGAACGTTACCTTGGATGCAAAATGAAACTCCTCAGTTCTTTTCTCAGTTAATTATCTCTGCAAGCCCCAGCAATTAGGCAGGTTTCCATCACACGACCAGTTCAAGGTTATGAACTAATAGTGTAAATTCAATAACGTACTATTTATGAGGCTGAGAGGATTATGAGGGACCCATTCTTGGAGGATATGAGAAATACTGAAGGCTTCCCCAGGCTAGTGGAATAATCATTTCTTCAGGCGTGGAGGTCCTGCAGCATCTCCTGTATTATTTACACATGGGACCAAAAAAAAAAAAAAGACTACCTACATTAGGTAGGCCACTGGATACAATTGTCTGGTCTTCATTATCTGGTCCTATTCAGCCTCCACTTTTCTTCGCAAATCAGTGAGAACTGCCAGTGGTGAGTCAGTGTCAGAGAGATTAAAATAGATAATTCCTCTGTCTCAAAAACACACTCAATCCTGCCTCATTCTCCCATTTCTTCTTATTCTATGAACTCCACTGTTCTTTTTTTCCAGGGTGTACACTGTTAAGTGGCCTCTTAATAAGAGCAGCTTTAAATCGAGTTATGCTCATTTATCATACAGTAGGTCCCTTATCCAGGCAATGGTTGCTCATCACTGTTGTCCAGGGGGGAAAGCTTTATACAGTCAGCTTAGGAGTTGTTTACCAGCAGGACCAATCAATTAAAGAATAAGGAGGGGGATTTTAACCAGCTCCCAGGAACATAAACCTACCCTGAGAGTTTGTTTTTCAAAATAAAAGCAAGTAAAAACTGGTCAAATTACAGTTTATTTCTTTATAAACATAAGTATTCTAGCACATGTTGGCTTTGTGTTTCACCGTTTCACTGCTGTAACCTGGATGCTGTTCGTCCTGGAGGCTGAGGGACGTCCTTACCTTCTCCTCCTCTTCTTTATTCCACTTATCATTCACCTTCTCAGCCTGCCAAACATCTTTACTGAAGCAGTAATGTCGATGGATGTCCTCCATTACTGCTCGTTTTGGCGCCACTGTGTTAGTTCGGCCACAGTGAAGGGTCTCTGGCACCCTCATCTGTCTCTATAGAGCACTGCAGCGTTACAACTGAGCCATATTATAGTGGACGAAGAGTACAATTATTATTAAGTTAAAAGTTTAAAACTTTACGGAAGCGTATTGCATTCACTTGAAAAAAAGTGAGTAATTTATTTTTTGGTTTGTTTTTTTGAATATTTTTTTCTGTTTTTCTGAGTAATTTTTTTCCTGTTTTACGGAGTAATTTCTTTTTCTGTTTTTCGGAGTAATTTTTTTCCTGAATTATCGAGATATTTCGTATTCCCGCGGGAACCTCCAACCTGCAAGTGACTCCCATGGACCCATGGTGACTCATCCGTCCCACTCACCCATCTTCAACTATCTACCGTACCGGGTCAATTAAGGACGACAAACTAATGATAATACCATCTATATGACTTAAAGAACCAGGACTATCTCCCAGTGTCTTAAACCAGATCAAAGTAAACTTGATTGAACTAAACAAGCGCGTTCATGTTTGTTTCATCGAGCTCTCAATAAAGGAATGAATGCGTCTATTGTTTCAAATGCTCTCTAAACTCAGAAAAAAAATTGTCCGAAAAACAGAAAAAAAAAAAATATTCAGAAAATCAGAAAAGAAAAAAACCAACCATAAAAATAAATTACTCTGAAAAACAGAAAAAATAATTACTCCAAAAAACAGACAAAAAATAATTACCCAGAAAAACACAAATAATTACTCAGAAAAACAAACTAAAAAATACATTTTCAAGTGAATGCAATACGCTTCCATAAAAACTAGCTTTCAGATAAAAAATTACAGCGCACAGACCGCTAAGAAATAACGATTGCTGGACAAATCCTAAAAATACTGACAGCTTAACCGCAGTTTAAAATCTGAAGCAGTGGGAGCTCCAGAGGAAATAAAATTCTATTAAAATAACACAGTTTCAAAAATCTGAAGAGGAGAAAGTAATGAGGAAATAAAACTTCAAAAGGCTGGGGAAAATAGCTAAAGCCCACTTTAGATTTTGCAAATACAGCCTTCTGTTCAATTAATACATGTTTGTATACACAGTAATGATTACTGCCATTACAGCAAGGCACACTGCATGTCAGCAGCAGATTGTAACACATTATCTGCATTCCTGACATGAATGTAATATTATTTATGTATTAATAAAGACATTACATTTACTAACAAAGACAACCAAGCCATTTAACAGTAAAAAGCCTGTTTAATTGCAGAATATATTGACAGTACAGTACAGCAATAAAAACACTGCCATATTGCTCCTATTTTACATGACTTACACAGCTGCTGTTCAGCTTATGAAACAAAACAGTAATACGGTACTTGTACAGTAATGATGAGAAACACAACACGCAGACAGGCTCACAGAGCACTTTCGCACATCACTTCCTTCTGACAGGTCGCTGTGTTAATTAATAAGAAATGCACAATATTATAATAATCAGAAGAGCAAGAACAAAGACACAGAGCATTTGATCCCTACAGTCGTGACGTCTTCATCACTGGGTCTAAATGGACAAACTGGGCTGAAACAACCGGTCACACAGGGAGCAGAGATGCACAGCCACAAAGTCCACAGACGGGAAGAAAACCAAAAAGAAGAATAAAAACCAAAAGAATATGGATTACTTTGTACGTACGCAATACATACAAGACATGAAATGACTTTAACATTGTCCATTACTCTGAACTGGCCTTCATTCACCACGTTACATCCTCTTTGTTACTTGTACCTCAGTTCATGTATCACATGAGTGCTGTTGCATTTTATTACAAAGCTTCAGTTTGTAAATAAGGGCACCACAGCTGCTTCTTCACAGCCTTCTTCTCCCTCAGCTACCGCAGAATCCTGGGAGCCGACCTGTCGTCAGTCACTGCCTTGCGGAGCCTCACCCCCCGGCGTATTGACACCAGCATATCTGTGTCCTCCTGGGTCGTAGAGGACGACTCCTGGGGTACACACAGAGCTGGATCCCCTGGCAGTGAGCTGTGGAAGGGGAAGTGGCCCTCGCCAAGGGCGTGGGCGCTGGCTGCCAGCTCTCCTATCTTCTCTACCAGGCTGTGGCGGTTGGCAGCGAGCAGAGGGTCCTCCTCAGTGCTGTGGGTCGCCATGCCGGGGGCCTGCTGGGCGTAAACAGTCCTGTCCGCCCCTCCTCCTCCACAGCCCCAAGCTGTGTCAGGGAGGCTCATTCGGTTTGGAGACGCCCTTGTGTAGTCACTACTAGATGGGTCATCACCGTACAAAAACTCCTCGCTGCCCACGCGATACTGCGACGGACTGGCGTACCCCGGAGAATCTGGCACCGTTGGGGTCTTAACGGGCACAATGGGGGGCCGGATTGGAATGGGGCCGGATGTGGACGGCGTGCGTCTCACTCCAGTTTTGGAGGACGGTGTCCGGCGAATGGTGGCCGTCCCCGACGTGATAACTCCGGAGCTGGTTCCCCCTCCCCCATTTGGAGTTCCCTGCAGGGTCTTCCCTGCAGGCAGACCTGCTGTGCTGGCAGGTCTCTTTGTTTGGATCATTCGGCGGTAGCTCTGAGCGATGTTACTGTGTCGTGGGATGGTGGAGGACTTGTCAAAGTCTGCCTGTCCTTCACTGTCAGCATCTCCATTGAGAGAGTAGCACTCATAATCAGAGCCTAGAAGTGACAGTGAGTCATAAGAATCTATTTTTACACAGAATAACAAAGAATTCTGAAAACAACAGTGTTTTGAAGAGTTATTTTGCAGCTGTTGAGCTTCGTTACATAATACCTTAAGGTAATCATGTTAGCACTGAAGGCAATTGGTACTGTGCTTTCCAAATAACACAATATTCCCATCAAAGTTACATGGAAAAAGAACAAAGAAATTCTAAAATTCTGTGCTGTATTTGGATGCCTGTTGTGTGGCTGTGTGGGTGAGTGTTACCTTGTGAGGGTATAGTGTCCTCAGAACAGGAAGGGGTGTTGGTCTGAGTGCTATAGCCGCTGGAGTACTGCAGAGAGTCCCTGCTGCTCTTCTGCTGCTCCATACTCAAGCCCCTAGTCAGAACCATAGCTAGAGTACTGGCTGCTGGAGAGAGTGGCTCGCCATGCTGAAGCACACATACACACACAGATACAGGCAGGAAGGAAATACATAAAGATTAGCACACATTTACATATGCAATTCACCACACAAAAATTCTCAAGCCATACAAATTTATATAATTCCATTTACATTTTTACCCTTACCTTGGATGCTATGGTTCCTGGGCCAATTCTTGCTCGGTGTTGATCATCTGGTTGCATCCCAGAATACCCCAGTGGACTGGGCGGAGCTTCTAGTTCTCTCATCTTATCCATGGACTCCCTCCTACGCTGCAGAGTGGTGGCCAACGATGGCTCACAGGAACTCGATTTGGCCCAGTCCTGCAGCAGCAGAAGGAACAATGAGACTGTCTTCCAACTGTGCATCTCCAGTGTTTGCCACCCAACAGTCGTGCAGTCAGTTAAACATGGAAGCTGCTGATTTGGCTCATGAACTGGTTAGATGCCGGTGTAAATATGGACAGATTACATTAGGCTATGTAAGTGTAGTTAAATGAAAGAGCCGACTCAGTTTAGGACATCTTTGTGAGGAAAGATTCGAAAACTGAGCTTGATGAGCGACAGCAAAATGGTGACTGTGAGGTCAATCTCTATGCTCATTAATGTGCATGAAGGCAACAAAACACAAGAAGCAAAGAAGCAACAAAGTTTTTAAAAGAGAGAACCAAAAAGTAAAATTGCAAATGAAAACAAACCTTCCAGCTAGGAACCTTTGATGTGGGTGAGGGGGTGTTGGATCCAGGGGAGTGGTTAAATGTGGGGGACGCAGGAAGTATGACAGAGAGAGGCCTGATGGTGCCAGTGTGAGAGAAAGCAGGGCGAAAGGTACCGAAGGATGAGCATGAGCCAAACTGCGGAACGGACAGACAAGTCTGAGTCAGCGTGCTCAACATCCATGAATAGTCCAAGTCAAACCGCACTGAGGCTGTCAAGTAGAGCCCACAGCTCTCTTTATACTATAGATAACAATGAGTAAAATGCACAGCACATTGTGTGTAGGTGTGTGTGTGCGTGTTTGTTAATGTGCGAGTGTCCAATAAAGCAATTAGATGGATGAGATGCATGCAGTACTAACCGCTGTAGGAGAGTTGCATTCGCTGACAGACTGGCAGGTTTCTGAAGCCTCAGAGGAGGCTGAGCTTGTTGATTTCTGGTAAAAGGGAAGATGGAGTAGAGAACAGTGGAGGGGAAGAGGAAATGGGGAAAAAAAAGGTAGGTGTGAGAGATGAGATGCATAGGAACAGGGGGAGAGTTGAAGAAGAGTGTCGATGAGCTTTAGGAGGAGGGAGGTATTTTCTTGTCTCTGAGGGGATCTATATACCATTGCCTGGATTGAAAATAAAGTAGCCTGTAAGATCATTTATTCAGTAAAGAACATTGCATCAGTTGGCGTGCTAGTATGCTGCTGAGCACTGCAATATGTTCAGACCGTGAGAGTCTGTATAACTTTATAAGTCCAGTGGGATAAAAATTCAACATTTGCAACTGGTAAAACTCTATAGCAGCAAAAACAAAGAGCTCTGTTACGTTTGGTTTTGGAGCTGTCGAGCTCTTATTGAGGACTATGGCTCTATGCCTGAAATGCAAACAAGAAAAGATGGAAGGTGCCAGATGGAAAAGGACTGTCGTTAAAAAGAGAGAATTACTGTAGATCTACTGTGACAAGACAGTTGTGTTGTTTCTGTGTCTTCCTGCCCTGCAGCATGACTGCATAAGGAATCTCTGGAGCTGCTCTGTTCCTGGATTTGCTGCAATGTAATCCCTCCTTTCCTCCTGATCAAAGAATAAGTTTTATGGCTGAGACTGCTACCTGGCTGGCGATGTCAGAGGGCATGGGCGATGGAGGCTTAGAGTGGGTGTTGGCATCTTGGGACACAAAGCCTGAGTCGTGGGAGGAGACACTGCTGAGGCGATGGGCTCCTGCAGAGGGCATCTGGAGGAGACTGTTGACAGGATATCAAATTAGTACATAACTTAACACATATGGAAGATTTACAAAGCCTAAATGCAAACAAATCTATGTAATGTTTTTAGTTCCTTTTTCTGTATGCATTTACTAATGCAAAATGAAAAACATGTAACATGACAATTATTTAGCATTTTGTTTTAAAAATTTGAAATTTTAAAAACTATTGCATTTAACTGTTGTCCAGCAGAGAGCAGCATACACCTGCCGATAATAGATGCAAAGTACCATCATTAGTTTCCATGAAGAGCTTCAATGGAGCCATTTGTTTTTAAAAAAGGAGATGCATCATCCATGGCAAACTTAAAATACAATCAACTGTCTAATCCCATTGGGAATGTGACCATCGGCGGGGCCTAGTGTACGGTCTCACAAGAGTTCCCCGGTCAGAGAGACCCTATTCATGACTGCATATTTTGGTTACATTTGGAATCCTCTGTGATAATGTATTTCTATATTTCAATCCCTGACATTACAAAATAACTTACAAAGTGTAATTTATTTTATGTTTTCCCCTTGTTTGATTTGGTTTCATTTAGGCATTGTAAATCTTCCATAAAAAGATACAATATGCATGTAACAGGATTGTGATCAAGGTTGTAGCATTTTCTTTTTCTTTTTATGTCTGGGCCATAGCAAAACCATAAAAAACTAAATGAAAAATTTATCACAAAAGCTTAAAACATGAAGGGAACGTTATATGAAAATTCTAAATGATGCCATTCTTCTAATTTTGGTGCATCAAAGGGCATTAAAAAGTTATCCTTTCTTTGATTTTTCCTTCTCTCTGAACATTAACAGCTGTCTCCGTGCTTTTTGTCTCCCGCTCCTGTCATTCTTATTCAGAGTTGCTCCTCTTTGTATCCCACGCATTTGAAAATGTGCAACTTCTACTTCTCACCTTCCTTTACACTGCTCCCCCTGGAATATATCTGAAGTTATCATTTCTCCTTTATCTTTGTCCTCCGGGATGAGGCTTAAGGAGGAGTGCCAAATTAAATATGACAAATTAAATAACCTTAAATGATTCATAACTAGACACTATCCTTATGTTCTTTTCCTCTTTCCTCTGTGTCTTTTAAGAAGAACTCAGTAAGCTTGTATTTCTTCTCTCCTGCAACCAAGATTCTTGATTGTTGCCCACAACTGAATCATGACATACTTCTCTACAAACATAGGGAATTCTATGACCTCCAGCTTATCTAATTTTTTTTTATAGATTCAGTGGACAAACAAATGGATGAAAACATGTACAGCAGTCAAGGTGAAACAAAGGTTGGTTGTCTAAGATCCAGGAAAAGCTGACTGGGGGAGATATAAGATTTTCATAGATTAATCAAATTTTATCCTAAAAACATCACACTCACTGTGATTTACAATTTGTGTGCATTAAAAATCAGTCAGTCAAACAGTGGCCGTCAGTAGCATAGTGGATCAATATAGAAGACTAAAAGTAGGCTGCAGTGTTAAATGGCACACATATCAGGGAATTTCTGTTAGGAACTGTGACTCTTAATACAAAGTAATAACTTGGTTTGATGTTGCTTTAACTACAAGGGTTTATTTGTAAAGCAAAGCTCGCTTCTTGACCCGGAATCTACCTTTGACCCAAATGCATGAATAAACTGTCGAACTATCATCATTAGACTTGAGATTTTGGTTTCCATGTAGACTCATGGCTGTCACGCTGTGCTGTTTCACAGCTTTGGACCTAATCTGGCTGTAAGAAGCTTGAGAACTGCAAATCTGCCAGGAGCAAGAGCTCAGAAGTTGGCAAGATACGCCATGTACTGCATGTTAACTGTCACTGATAGTCTGGCTGTGTGGTGACGGAGGGCTTGGGGGTCACCGGCTCATGTGTCCATGACAACCTTTAATATTTCATTCTTTTGCTATTGTGTGAATAAGTGGGTTAAAATCAAGAATGTGCATGGATGTTTCCCTTAAAACAGCATGGCAGCTCAGATAAAATCCAGCATTAACAACACATCTGACGCAGCACATGAAAAATATCACATCTTAATGTACGATCAACACATTGTGTGTGTATAGACTGTACCTGCACATGCTGCTCTTCCTGGAGCCGGCGCTGCTGGGGGAGGAAGGAGGGGTCTGGTATGACCAGCTAAAGTCAGAGCCTTTCAGGTCACGGATCACCTGCGGCAACACATAACCACAAGGTAATTATATAGTGGCAACAATATAAGTACGCAACATTGCTTTTACACAAGATGGAGAAAGAAACACGTAATGGTTTAGACAGATACTAATAAATTACTGCTAATTACGACTTGTCTTGTTTTTTCTCAGGCTGTGCTGAGGGACATATAAAGGGATATGTTTTGTCACGTTATGGTGAGACTGTAATAGAAAGAGCAAGATAGGAGTAAGAGCAGAAAAAAGATTTTGTAGACACATAGTCACAATAGATGTATAACAGCCATTTTCAGCCACAATGTGGACGTTGACATAAGTAATCTCACACCATCCTACCTCTCAAATCCGGCATTAAAGCATCAGACAACACTGTAGCTAATGGAAATGATGTATCTGCACACTATTAACATACTACTCTTTTAGCTACTGCCAACAAATGTCATGAAAAGCCTATCAGTTCTGTATTTCTCAACCCCATGTCCTCATTCCATTCAGTCTTTAAAAATGGGTGACCGATATATAGTTTCATTTTTAGAAAAGGCTGTATAATTTCCTTGAGAGCAGGGCACTGTAGGTTTGACAAATGTTACTCAAACAGGTGTAAACAGTACATCTGTTCGGGACTATTTTTATTAACAGATTGATACTCATCTGGTTCTCCAGGGCGTATTTACGGCAGATGGACAGAGTATGTGGGATCAGCTCACAATAAACCACAATGGGCATGTTTTAATAGTTTTGTGGAAACAATTGTGGTCAGTGGTCAAATAAGTTATATCAGGCTTTGGCTACACAGAAAATACTTGTTAGTGGGATCAATTAATTGTTGTTCTTTTTGTTATTAATAAGACAAATATAGAATCTCAGCCTTGGACGCACAAGGTAGATTTCATTGTGGTCTAAATAGCTTGACCATATGCAGCAGCATTAGTAGAATTAGCAGTATTACACCTCTGTTACCTGCTCACTGGCTGGTGGCAGCTTATGTGGGTCTTCAGTCAGCACACTGAGGTCATCAACAATGGCCTGTAAATGTGTTATCTCTCCCAGCATGGCAATCTCTACATTCTGGAAAGGAAAATATGACCGATCAACAACATGAGCAAGCAAAGTAAAACATCTTTTTCAGTGCTCTGCTTATTTTCTACAACTCTTAGGTAACAAAGGCTAAATGTTCCTCACCACCACAGGCTGCAGCATGTTAATGAATGTACAGTAACGCCCTCTCTCTTCCAGGAGGGCTCTGCGAACTGCCTGCTTCTCCGTCTCCTCCATCAGCAGATACAAGTCACTGACATCCTGCATGGCACTGTCCAGCTGGGGGCGCAGGTTTCCCCGGCCTGTGCGAGGCAAAAGGAGGGGTGCAGAGACACAGAAGAGGGGGAGGGAGGATGGAGTGAAGGAGGAAAGACAGGGGGTGAGTGGGTGAATTAAAGATAGACGGGAGAGGAGGAGGAATGAAAAGAGATTGGGGATTTGACGGGCGGGTGATAATAATGGAAGTGACATGAAAGAAGAAAAGTGTACACAGTGCCGGGAGGAGGAGAGTAAAAAATGAGAGATGATTAGAACACATAATGACAAATTGCTTCTGTACTAGAGGTCAACGCACTGACAAACACTACACTCAAATGGTTCATGTGCATGGAATGAGAGGACAGTCAACACATATCATCAATCATGAGTTGATGCAAAGCAACTGGTGGTGACTTGAAGGTCCTGAAATGGATGTGATTTGACACAAAGTAAATAGAATGTCTAAGAGTCATTCAAGTCTGAATACCACAATGACACTACATGATACAGTAGATGAAGGTTGGAAAAAGAATGAAAGAAGGATGCGATGAAGATGACCACGGAGCTGCCGAATTCTCTGTTACTCTGACTGCATGATTTACACAGACATACACTGCCAGTTAAAGGTTTTTAACACCCTGCAGTATATCGTAGCATTTTTGGTTCAATCTCAAACAATGCACTCACTGTAACTACCTCACAGTGGGAAAATATAAGTAAGGAATATAGCTTTGAGTGAATTCAGATGTGCCTTGCTATGTTATCACCAAGAAACTCCAGTTATATTTAGCAGGCAGCACACTGTAGCCTATATTTGTCTAACCACTGTCTAATTGGCTCATCTTTCAGCGTACCTGCATTTAATAGGGGCACTGATTAAATGAAGAGTCCCATTTAGGATATGACAGCTTGCTAATTAATAGGTCCTTAAAAACAGAGGTTTAGGTCTTTGGTAGAACACAAAGCTGTCAGCATGGAGCCAAATGTCAGCTCAGAGGAATGAAAGATTGTCTGACTGATAGTTTTACAAACAATTCTTAATCTATTAAAAAGGCATTTAGAAAATGGATGGGCTACATTTGAAACAGGTCTGGCAAACTATCTGTATGCAAAATACAAGGAGCTAAGAAATGTACAACAAATATACAGTGTGTGTGTGCCATTTCTCACTGGACATGTTATATGGGAAACAGACTTTTTCTCACAGTAGGAAAAGCACAGGTGTAAATATTAAAGTCACTGATAGCTGAATTCCATTTAGCTACTGAGACACTGGAATAGAATTAAGAGAATTGTTAATGTTATTAGTAAGACCTGTGCTTTTCCTGATATGACCTAGGCCCATTAACTTACACCCATGTATTACCGTACTAACACTGCTTGAGGTTTAGGTAAAAAATACACTTATTCCCTTTCTTGCTGAGAGTTAGATGCAAAAATGCCACTCTTATATTTGCCATATAGAATAGAGCTACGATTAGCAGCTGATTAGCTTAGCACAAAGGATCCCTAATATGTTTGCAAGTTCATTAGTGGCCTTGAGAGAAGCTGGTAGGTGGATTTTGTTAACTTTGGACAGAGCTAGGCTAGCTGTCTTCCCACATTTACAGACTTTGTGCTAAGCTAAGCTAACCGGCTGCTGGGGGTAGCTTCATCCATGTATCTAGCGTGCATGAGTGTGGTATCCATCTTCTCACCTAACTCTCGGGAAAGAAACAAAACAAGCAATTCCTTCCTTCAACCAAAAATGCTGAGACAGCACAGGGTTTTCTTTGACTGGCAGTTTTGATCTGAAGATGATTATGATTCCTATGAAAACTATTCTAGTTCTCATACAGGGCAAAGCACAGCAGACATACCTAGAAGCTCTACAGCCAGGAGAAACAAATAGAGGAGGGGTTGCAGGAACAGGCAGGGGGAGGAGAGACAGAAGAACAGGCAGTGTTAGCTGGATCAAATCAGGGCACGTTGCATGTTTATGACTAGCCCGTACCACTGGTGTACAGTAAGTCTGTATGAAAATAGGAGTTTAATTAGAACCAGCAGTAGGGGCTAATGCGAGCACAGCCAGGAAAGTAGAACATTTCTTTGATTTATAAGGTAGAAGCTGACAAATCATCCAAAGCTGGAAAGGAACTTCTGAAATTGTGCCAGGCATTTTGATTTGATTGAGTTGTCATGTCTGATTCTACACTCTAGATGGCGCCAGTTCAATCTAAACCATTGGTGCAGACCAGGGACCAGCAGCCAAACAGACTTCATTAACATCAGCCCTAAAAGCTCAATAAAGTTGCGTGAGGTGTTTTATCACAGCGTTCATTAATCATCAGGTTCTTGTCACTAGGGAAAGTTTATCTCACCTTTTCTTGCTTTTTTCTGGAGTTTTATGGTGTCTAACGACTTCCTTTTGATTTCCTGACGAGACCGCTTGTATTCTGAAGGCAGCGAGGCAAAACCAAAGACATATCAATTTCTGCCCAACATACAGTGCTCACAAACAAACTAGTATTTGAAATTTGTGTTTCCTGGTTGTTCACCTTTGGCATGGTCTTTGTCCAGCTGATTAGCTGTCTTCTTCCATTCCTCTATCTTATCCTGGAGTGGCGTAACCAGGCCTTCCATAAGAGCACTACAGCGACAAGGAGGCAAAACATGAGAAGAGAGAGTGAAAGAATGAGTGGCATAACAAATAGATTTTTATTTCCGCGGCGCAAAAACACTCAGTGAAGAGTGGCAGAATGGCAGGAAGGTCAACAGAGATGGGATGGGACTGGCGAACACAATAATCCCTTCAAGAAAATTGCATTGGAGAGGGGGCAAAAAAATAAAACACAGTTGACACTTACTTGGTGAAGTGGCGTAATTTTGTCTCAATGCTGCGGTGGCGCATACACATCCTTGTCAGAGCTGAGCCGACGTCCCTGGTGGCACCTTGGATACGACAAAGGGAAAAACAAACAAATTGTCACCTACCATATAAGAGGTTGGCATTACAAATCACAGATGTGCCTCTTGGCCTAGACAAACATGATTTTTTATGAGGAGACGTAACACATCAGGAGAGCATTTTGAGAGGTCTAATTCTCTCTCCTGTCAGATGGATTTATCCGGGTGTTTTTTTTCCCTGGTGGAGAGGCATTTCCCGCTGCAGCCACTAGGTGGTCAAGTGCTGATTGTAAAAGCCCATAAATGTCACATTTGTTTGGGGAAAAGCAAATGTGACATAGTGCCTGAAAACTACAACCCTACACTGCCTCCCTCTTGACAAAACAAGCATTTTCCACTTGAAGATTGCGTGCAGGATTCTCATCACAGTGTCAATAACAGCTTGTGTGAATTGGTTACTGTACATTTCCTCTTTGCTGAAGTGTAATTAAACAGGGTTTTCAGACCCTAAAGCCCAAGCTGGCCCACTATCTCACTGATGGTTCACAGGCCAGTGTAATATGTGGCAGCACTGATCCTGTTGTAATCTCGGCCACATAGGGCTAATCTGAGGGTCTCTCACCAAACACACGCACACACACACAGAGTCTGGAGGCATGCACGATTGTATTTTATGTTCATGAATGTAATTTTTGGCTGGCCACACAACACAACACAGCAAAATTCATTCTATGAACATTAAATACACAATCGGGGTGCATGCCTCCACTC